TGCCACCCAAATCATCATAGTAGGTAGATTACAAGCTACCCACAAAGAAAAAACAATCTGAAAGGGTTTAGAGCTGCACATATCTCTTTGAAAACTCACCCAGGAGCCCACTTCATCTCAGCTACAGCCACTGGCAACAGTATTTGGCATGATGAGTCCTGTGTCTGAGCTCAGGTCTCGGGCTGCTCAAAGTGAGATAATTTGCCCCTTTATCAGCTGCCTCCATAAAAAAGAATAAGGTTTCTTTTTGACATAGCAGTTCCAGTCATTCACCACCTTTACTTCCCTTGATGTCAACAGATCTGTGAGGTTGTTTATTGCAGTGCATAGAAGCCGTAGCTCCAGTCCAGGTTCCCATGGATAAGCGAGCTTGGAGCAGAAAACCCAGCACTGCTCTGGGCCCTGCCTGTTGGCCATGCTGTAATGTTCTTGGCACAAAACTCAAGGGAGGGAATAGTGTGAGGAAGGAGCTGCCCTCAGAGCCTTTAGAGATGTTGACAGCCTGGCATCCTGCCCTTCTGCAGCAACTGCTCCATAAAGTAACAGGTAAATTCTGTCTTCAGGACGGTCAACCTGGCACTGCTTGAGCATACACAACTGCTGCAGTGTGACTGAGAAAAAATGAGAGAGGGAAAGACACTAGGAGATCTTCCTTCAGTGGCTGTAATGCTATGTCAGGGAGTTGACTCCTGCTTAAGGCACATGTGATATAGAGCCAGGATGTCCTATCCTGACAGGCTTCTGGGGAGAAGTTTTGCCTTTTCCTCTTTTTCTGTGTGGAGCTGACTTCTGTCCTGGATGCTCAGAATTTGTACAAAGCACTTTTTGGCCAAGCCTTGAAGAATGATGTGCTCCCAGGAGCCCCAGAGCCTTTGTTTTCATGGTGCCTTCAGCTGTGATTGTCCCTCCTTCCTCTGGCCCTGCAAGAAGTCCAAAGACCCTTCAGGGTCTTCCCCACTTTATTTCTCTCAGAAAGTGAAGACAATCGGCCTCAAAGACTGTCTCCCAGATCAATTTCTTCTTTGAGACAATTTAACTCCCTTATATTTTAGCTCTTTTGCATAAAGCCTTTCCAGCTAATATTATATGTGTTGGGTTACTGTGCAATTAAAAAAACACACAGAGGAGATTTTAATAAAACTTTTGTTATCAAGTTTTACGATTTCAACAAGTGTTGCTGTCAGCTAATAATCCCTAGAGTGGCCATCATGAAGTATTCCAATAATTGGATTTTAATTTAAAAAATCACTTAGTCCTACAGTATTTTTGAAATCTAATTATGTCTTTAGGAAAATCACACAGGTTGTGGTATTTTCTGGACAACATTACTCTTTGCTCAGTACAGACACCTTCCATTACTTTATTTTTTTTCCTTCTTTTTTTTTTTTGTCGTTTCTTTTCTTATGGGTATTATTAAAACTCTTCTATTTCCTGTGTTGTCAAGATCTAATGGATGAAATAAATGTGAATGCAAATACAAATCTCTATTATACACATTATGTTAGAAAAGAAGCTCCCTATGCAAAGAAGATTAGAAAGCTTTTTTACTTATTGCATTCATGATTCATGAGATTTTTTTTTCCCTTGGATTTAAAGGCATTATTAATGAGCCAGTCCTGTAGATAAACTTGGCTGTAAATTTTATTCATATAGGCAATAATTTATGTCTCACCTTATCTCAAGTATTTTGGAAAAAATCCTGAGTACGTGTGCGCACACAGAGTGTCACCTGGAATAAGTCCAGTGAAGCCTGTAGGCTTGCTCACATTTATATCACAGAAGCATCGAGTGATCCAGGCATTACTGTTAGTACATTACCTTTTAGTCATCTTTGATACTGAATGCCACAGCTCACTCCACCGTTGTGTGATTCCTCATGACATAATGACAGGAGAAATAATTAAAAACATCATGAATTCAAGACCCTTCCCTTGTAGTACCTGGAGTATTCCTGTATTTTTCCATATGGAATACAGAGTAACACCACTTCAAGGTATGTCTTTGACTGTAAGTAGGCAGAAATCAATGCAATAAAAATAAGAGTCTCACAGATATTTTTATATTTAGATATATGAATAGTACATACAGTCATATTCTGACCTTGAAAGAATGGAAATAAGATGTGACAAGGGATTCTGTTTGTAGTATTTATACTAAGAGTAAAAATACTCTGATTGTACACGAAGATTTCCTTGAAACAAAACTAAATCTATTTAATATGTGAAAAGGGGAAGGAATAAAAAGAAAAGGTCTGATGAATTAGCGGTTGGCAATATGAAGAACATTTCAGTAAGATTATTTACATGAATGATATGAGGCATCTGGCCTGTACTGTATAGTACAAATATAGAAAAGCTGTGGAGGCCATAATCTGTCACTGTAGTGCATATGCAACTCCACTTGAATTCAATAGTACTTCAACATGCATATTGATGAGATGATATTTGCTCATAGCACAGGCAGATTTTTTTGTTTGAAGACAGCCATTGTTAACAATTTAATATATCCTTTAAAGAGACGGGACAAAACTTCTATTGACTTCACCAAAATTCCTGACCCAGGCATTGATTGTAGCAATGAAACACAGAGAAAAAAAAAAAAAGTCTAGTACAGAGCAGACTGAAAAATGGTGGTTAAGCTGCATTGGCTTTTCACTTCCTAAGTCTTGCTTCAGCCCTTAGTACCCTGGCCCACCTTTGGTTTCTCTTATTTATTTATTTTTTTTTTTTACTTTTTTTTTTTTTCATCTCCCAAGCAGTATTTCCAAAATAGACGCGTATGCTCTATGGATTGTATTGCAGAGGATTCAGATCTATTTGTCAGTTTTACTTCATACATAACTGCCCACGTGCAGGGAGGTTAGTTACATTGCACAGTAAATTTAGCTCACTTATTTGATATTTATCATTAGAGCACTGTATCTTCTTCTAGTGCCTCAAGCAATTAAACCACGTGCCCATCTTCTTTTGGAACCCCTAGCAATTATTAATCACTTGCCATTGTCTTTGGATTTTCTGCCTGTGACCCTTTTAGTTCTGCAAGCCAGGAAGCTTTCTTCGCAATAACAGGGAAGCTACCTAAAGGTCAGAATATATTTCAAAGCTTTAAAAATAGCCCAATTGCATTTTAAAGTCTAATTGGACTTTTCAAAAGTCCATTAGTAAGCCCAGAATTTGTGATTCTTTAAAGCCCCACCAGCTCACACTACCTTGCTGGGGACCTTGTTGCTAAGATTACATACAGTATCCAAATGGTTGAAATTAAAATTAACTTTAAAAAATCTAATATTTCACTTAAGCTGCTCTGCTAATATTACAGAATCAGATAAAAGTCAAATGACTATGTTGAAAAATCCTAAATGTCAGATAAGTAGTGCATTTCCTTTGAAAATGTTCACAGCTGGAATACGTTGTAGCCTGCTTTTTTATATTTTATTTTATATATTTTTTTTCTTTGGTAAAAAAGATCAATCCAGGCTTCCATATGATCCTTTCTCCTGTCTTCTGGAGACACAATAGAGAGAAGCAGTCCAAATGGAGCATCAGTTTTCTCAGTGCCTTTGGCTGAGGAGGTCAGCCAAAGTATGAAGAAGTTTTCACTAAAGCCTTGGATCAGCCCCCACACAATTGAAAATAGGTTCCTCCCCCTTAAGACCTTTACCTCAAGAGCCTTCTGATGCCTCAGGTAGGTAGCATGCAGACCAGACTGTTCATAGATCTCGCTGAATTCACAGGAGGAGGAGATTTCAGTGGGCTGAAGTCAAGAGTGACCATTCTCGTGATGCCAATGGAGTCCAACATTCCTCTGCAGTTCTCCCCTAAATGAGACACAAGGATCTGGGTCAGAAAGACAGGGAAGATGTTTGGTTTGCCCAGCTGGAGGAGGAATTCTTCTCCAAGGACTACTTCCTTGTCACCTCCACTATGAAGACATTAACGATCAAACCTTGCTGAGGCCGAATCAAGTTATACAGGCCCTAGAGTGGATTGTTCCTTCTCGAACAAGCATTGGCCTCCTCAGGAATGTGACCTATGGAAATCAGTCAGACATTGCATTTGCTCTTCCTGCTCCATATCAACCCTGCAATCTCCTATCTGAGGTAAGAGCAACCATGCTGGGTCTAAATATGTATCTCAGTGGCTTCTTGCAAAGATCCATAGCCTAGGTCATCAGTAGGCTCCACGCAGCTTGTGGCAAGTTTGTTCTGTGCTAAGAAAGTAACATTTATCTTTCTATCTATAGATTGATTAATAAATGCAGACAAAGCCCCTCACTTATGGGGAATAAGAGTGGAAAAGACAGGAAGGAGGCAGCTGGCAGGAGGGATAAGTCAGCTGTGATTTTTGATTTGTTACCCGTTGGAAACAAGAAGTCCCTAGGCAGCTTCAGCCTGCATGGTATTGCAGAGGCTGTCTGGAGGGGCAGGATGACAGTATGATTCCTCGCAGGCTGCATGCTCCTGTTCAAAGCCGTGACGTGAGCGTCCCACATGTCTAACAGAGGGATGGTGCTGGGGACATATGGAGGTGTCCATCTTCCAGGTGTTTGGAGCAGCGATGGCCATGGGGGAAGCTATGGTGCCGCCCTTCCAAGGAATATTCATTTCCTTCCTCCTCCTTTTCCTTCTCCCCTCTTATTACAGCATCCCAGACTCAGACCCCCGACTTAATACAGTATTTTACAGATTGGTATTGAAGCCTCAGATTGCAAATGTTAATTACAAGGACATGCTCTGAGAGCAGCAAGGATTTGGCAGGACAAGTGAAGTCCTTCCTCTCTCTCTCTCTTTCTCTCTCTCTCTCTCTCTCTCTCGTTTCCTGCTCTGTACAGCACTCTGGCTTGCTTCTTGGCTCCCCTTTGGGAGGTGATAAATCTGAGCTTTGCTGTCGAGGCCGGGGATCTGGTAAGGCAACCCTGTGCTGTTGGTATCCTCCCCTTCACCCTGTCCCAATGTCACAGTGGTAACGGTACGGTTTGGGGAGGATGGAAGAGGGCAGGAGAAGAAACCCCAGGACTTGTAAAGAAGAAGGCAAACAAGGTCGATGAGACCTTTCTCTTTGCATGACAGCTGGCGGGATTAGGCACGGCACGGGGCAGGGCCAAGCTTCCCCAGCCTCCCTCCGCGGGGCCGTCCAGCTACAGGTTCCTGCCGGCGGGGAGAAGCATCCCTCCATCCCTCCTTCCCTCCCTGCCATCCCGCAGCTCGGCTCCGCAGCCCCGGCCGGCTCTGCTCCGGGCTGGCGGTGCACGGGACGCCTCCCCCGAGGGAGGCGGAAAAACTGAAATGAAAGAGAGAGGGGGAAAAAAGCGAGGCTCCGGCCGGCTCCTTCCCGGCGCTGGGCAGGGCGAGCAGCCCGGCGGGGCAGGCAGGGCGGGCGGCGCGGGGCGGCTCTCGCCGCTCGGGGAGGGCTCTGATTCATCACCCCGCTCGGAGGAGAGGATGGGACGCCGTTGAAGTCCCCTTTCTCCCTCCTCCCTTCCCCTCTCCGCCAGGCAAGCCCCCCCCTCTCCTCCCCCCTCCGCCGCTCTTTCTCTCTCCCCAAGCAGTGAGGCTCGGACGGCGCTCGGCTCCGGCGCTTTATTCCGAGATGCTCGGCCAAGGTCTTTGCAGATAGATTTTATCTGAAGTTAAGGAGCAGGCGCTCGCCGCTCCCTCGCCGATAAGGCATTTTTAATAGAGACAAATCGCCCTGGACGCCCCGGAGCGCCGCTGCCGCCGCTCCTGCCCGCGCCCCCCGCCGAAGGCTAGCGGGCAGCCCGGGCAGCTCCCTCCTCCCGTAAGTGTCCTGCTCGGCTGTGTGCGGAGAAGGGGAGGCGAGGGGGGGACGGACAGCCTGCCAGCCGCCCCGCCACCGCCGGATGCCCAGCGGCCGCGGGACGGCCCGGCGCGGAGCGCGGCCAGGAGATGCGCAGGGGCGGCGGGCTGCGCCGCGCCGCTCGGCCCCTCTAGGCTCGCCCATGGAGCGCCCCGCGGAGCCCCGGCCGCCGTCGGACCCCCCACGCCGTACGTATCCCCGCCGCGGCCCCCCCGCGGCGCCGGGGCTGTCCGCGGGGCGCGGGGGCGGAGAGGGCCGGGGCCGGGGGTCGGGGGTCGGAGCCCGTCGGGGCGCCCCGCGGCGCGGCCCCGGCCCGGGGCGAGCATTTTGGGTGCTTTAGGAGCGGCGGAGAGGAGGGAGGTGGGCTTGCGGGGGGTGCGGGGGGGCGAGGAGCCTGCCCGGGGGTCCCGGCTTGAAGCCGCCGGAGCCCCGGCGCCGCACCCCCGACCCCTCTCCTCCGCGCTCCGGCGCTGCGGGGCTCCGCGGCGGGCGGCTGCCGCCCGGTGCCCGGCGAGGGCGCGCAGGGAGGCGGGCGGGAGGGCGGCTGGGGCTGGCGGTGGCACCCCCGGGCCGTCCCAGCCCACCCCCGGGGCTCCCCAGCCCGGCAAAAGGAGCGAGAGCCCGGTAGCGCTGCCCACAGGGCGCTCCGCAGCCAGCCTGGATCGCGCGACCACTTTACTCTGCCGCCGGATTAACTCGATTTTAATCGTTTTTTGTTCCCCCCCACCCCCATCCACACACCCCATCTCCTCCTTCTCTCCCGCCCCCCCTTTCCTACGCACCTCTCTTCCCCCCTTGTCTCAAGCCTAACCTTGTCTTGTGGTCATGGGGTCTATAATTTCATTTTTGTCTAGGCTGGTGAGAGCTCCGCTCGTTCTGTAAAGTGGATGTCAGGTGGATCTATGTTCTGGAAGGAACAAAGAGGCAGCGAAGGCAGCGCGGGGGAAGTTTGAGCGGCGAGGATGCAGGCTGTCTACTGGTACGCGGTCCTTCTGCTGCAGCCCACCCTCTACTTGGTGAGTGCCCCCCGGTGCCGGGGGGAGCGCGGCGGGGAAGGGGGCAGCAGCCCGGCAGGAGAACGAGCAAACTCACGGCAACTGCCGCCGCCTTCCGGGCAGCCCGGGGCCGGTAAGAGGGTACAGGGGGGGCAACCCCGCAACTTCTGCTCCCCTCGGGGACAGCGGGCTCGGGGGGCTCCCCGGTGCCACCTCCTGGACCGGGCCCCCCGGTGCCAGTGCGGGCACGGCAACGCCTCCGGGGGGGCTCCCTGGCAGGCTCCGGAGCGGAGGCAACTTCTTACGCCTGCCCTCGGCCGGGGGTGGACAGCCCCCCGAGAGCCCCCCAGCAGCCCTCCAGCACCGTGCCCATCCTGGATGCGAAGCCCGGGCACGCAGCGCGCAGCGAGGGAGCGGAGCTGCGTGGGTTTTCCGTGTGCGGTCCCGTTGGTTCTGTGGCGAATCTCCCCTGAGATTAGCCGGGGGAACGCGAGCAAACAGCGGCGCTATCTCCTTTCGCTCCCACTTTCTCCCCCCTTAAAAACCTCCAGGAGCAACCCCCGGCGGGCTGCCCCTTCCCAGCCCTGCCTGATGCGCCATTCATCAGCCGAGCGCTCTGCGGAGCATCCTCCCCGCGGCGGAGGGCAAGGAAGGAGCCCTTTTTTCCAGGAGCCACAAGCACCCCGCCACCCGCTCCGGGGATGCTCCGGCTGCGGCTGCGGGGCTGGCGGGGGCGGGGGGCGGCGCTGCCCGCTCCGCTCCTCTCCGCGACCCCCTGCGCTGCCGCGGCCGGGCCGCCTGGGGGCGCTGCGGGCCGCCGATCCCGGCCGGGGGTGGGGGGGAACCGACGGGGGGCTGGGGAGGGGGGGGCAGACCCGGCCGCCTGCGCGCTCCTCCCGCGGCCGCGCAGAGCCCAGCGCAGGGGGTCGCGGCCGGCCCGAACCCTCCCTCGGTATCCCCCCCCTCCCTCCCCCCCCCAAATTCCCTTCCCTTCCAGCCCCGACGGTTTTACAGGCGGGGGTGGGGGCATGGGGGGAGAAAAGTGCGCGGCGAATAATCTATCAAAAAGCCGGAGCGAGATCGATACATCGTGTTAAATTTTAAATGTGTTTGCTGGCAGTTAAACTGCTCCCGACTCATTACAACAACAGTGCTGGATTTATTCTAGTGCGCCGCAGTCTGAACAACAAGCGCATTAATTCTCCTTTAATTGTAAACTGGGAGCATTTGAAAACCATTCAGTGTGCAAATTATGCTGATTCAATTACCGTTTAGTTACAGACTTCATTACCTGAATGCTTTTTTTTTTTTTTTTTTTTTGTGTGTGTGTGTGTGTGTGTTCCGAGTGTTTGGCGTTAGAGAAAAGGAGACGATTTTTTTTTTTCAGTTTCCCTCGAAACAATGCGAATATGGTTAAAAAAAAAAAAAAAAAGGAATAAAAGGCAGGCTAGGGGGAGGGGATGCGCTCTTCGGCTCGGCTGCGTCTTCTGCCAAAACGCTCGAGGGGGATCCAAAGGATTTCCCTGCCCAGCCCAAGACTTCCTAAGTCGCTGCTCGCACGTTTACGCCAGCCTCCCTCTCCCCATGCTCTGCATTTAGGGAGTGAATCCGAAAGTTTGCGCGACGATAAACTGCTTATCAGCCGGGGAGCACGAAGTTTTGTTAGGCTTTAGGCAGCGAGGTGCAGCCCCCGGTGCCGCTCCGCCTGAGCATCACTCGGGCAGCGCCAAGCAGGAGTTGGATTTTCTGTACCCAGCCTGTTAGGAAGGGGAAATGAAATGACAACACCAACAGCTTCCCACTGAGTTTGTTAAAGGATCCTCCTTGAGGGAGGTTGATAACACAGAGGGAAAACATGTTTCCCCTCCGCCTTAGCCAGGCGCTGTGCAGAGAAAGTGAACAGCCGCAGCCAGGCTGGGCTGCCTTCAAGTTCCTCATTCGCCGGCTTCTGATTCCTCTCCACCCAGCAAACCGCTGCTCTTTTTTTTTTTTTTTTTTTTTTTCCTTCCACCATTAAACCTTTTCCTAATGAAATCTTGGAGGAAAAAAAAAAAAAGTGCTTCTGCTTTTCTCCCCCTTTTTAATAGAGCCATATGCCAGTCAGCCTTATTGCCTGAAATTTATAGAGGTCATGGCCGATCCAAACGAGTGAGAGTTTTGCTGGGGTAGAGCTGGCTCGCCCTATTATGTTTATTGATAAGAACATTAGCTAGACATCCAAGACATGCGTGTTCTCCTTGTTTTGAGCTGTGCAGCGTATTGCAAATGCTGTATTTGACTTACACTCGAAGTGCGTTTCTTTTGGCCTAAACGAATAACTTTGTATTTATTTGGTAGAATTAGGAGCCAACCTTTACAGGTATTTTGTTTCTTCAGATTTAAAGAGCAGCAGAAATTGTTCAAAATGCCATGCTCGGTCGTATTTACCTCGAACCTCCCCTTCTTTTCTTTCAGGAACATCTTAGTCTTATTCTAACGAATAATGTTTTCTTAACTAACAGCGCTGTGTCGAGCTCAAAATTGTCATTAGGAAAGCGCGTAGATATTAAGAAAGAAAAAGCCACACAGAGATTGTAGACTTTGTATTTTATTTTTAAGGTTTCAGTTCTGTCTGTTTATAAGGACACCGGGGTTTTACACCATTCCCTTAATTGAAACCTTCCCGTTTAATTCCTGCCTAGTTGCCGGTGAATCTCCAGCCCGACACCACAGGACAATAAAACGCCAGGCACTTTCTTTTCATTTCTTTCTTCATTATTACTATTATTATTTTTTTTCCCGGGTAGAAGCAACATGCTGCAGAAGCGCCTGCGAATCGCACGACAAAGCTGCTGGCAAAAGCGGCACGGACCCTGACTACTTATTTCTCGGGGAGCCAGCTCAAGATCGGGCAAAAGGCCGGGGCAGATAAGATAAGGGCAGGCAGACAAGGGGACCCGCTGGGCGGGCGGCGGGCTGGTGGCCGCAGCCCTGGCCCCGTTCTGCCCCCGGCAAGCCCCCGCCGGGCGGCAGCAGGATTTGTCCCCGGCGTGCCCGCGGGCTCTGCCCCCGCCTGCTCCGGGGGGAACTTCCCGCATGGTGCAAGCAAGGTGTAACTTGTTTTGCGGGGCTCACCCTGCTTTAAAGGGGCTAGAGCTCACCGTCTGGGTGAACCTAAAACCAACCCGAGTTTTGCGCTGCGTGCTGCTAGGGCAAACATCCCCCTCCCCGGCTTGCCGTGCTCTTCCAGCAGAGTTTCTTCACCGGCGGGTTTGGAAATTAGGCTGTACACCAGCATTGACTGGCAGAGATTTTTTCCTCCGTGCAGCGTTTAAGCGGAGCAGGAGCAAATCGCGGGGGATTTCTCCCCCCACCCCGACAAGGGCTGCGAGGTAGTTCCGCGGGGGCGCAGCTCTGCGAGCGCTTTGTCAGCCAACTGCGGGACACTCCGGCACCTTGGCTTACAGGACAATGGCAAAGGGTCTTGGAAACAGCCTGCTGACCTTCTCCCCGAGCCGGGCTGGGGTTTTAAGGTCTGCTCCTCGCCGTTTGGAGGCCTCCTGACAGCCGAGCGAAGCGCTCCCGCAGAAATGTCCTGAATGATAGTGGTTTAAAATCGCGTGCATCAGCGGTGGCACACCTGATGCGGTGTTTGCTGAGGGGGCAAACAGGGGGTTAGTGGCTCCAGAGTTTGTGTACATTTAATTTCGCTCCGTGTTGCACTGTTTGCGGCCATTTCACCCCGGTTAATGAAAGCTATGGAGAACGTGAAGAGCTATCACGTGCCGGCGAAGATAAGTTGATTTTTTTTTTTCCTTTTTAAAGATAGTTGCTGGTTGTGTCCTACTTTGATGTGGGAGGAAAGAAACCTCTATAGGCAGCGAAGATAAAAGAAAATAAAAAACAAAAGAGAGGGAAAGCATTGTCCTGTCATAATCACCACCCACAGTGTTTTCTCAGAGGTATTTGGTGCTGAAAGCATTCGTGTTTTTTTTTTTTTTTTTTTTTTTTTTTTAATCCAGATAAGCAATTTCTTGCATTTATTTATTTATTTATTTATTTTTAATTTTCACGTCCAAGGCGGGGAGAGGGGGAGAGCGCTTGGCAGAGAGGGAGAGAAGTGGCAGGGCTTTTTCTGCTAGAGACTTTACGCAGTCTTGAGATGATCTGCTCCCCCTCTGTAAAGGAGTTTGAGACCCTTTCGCGGTGGTGTAGAGGAAATTGTTACCCTTTCGGAAGATGAAGCACAGGATTAATAAAGGGACTCGAATCACTTGGAACTGGTGAAAAAAACTTATCTGTGCTCTATTTTTCTGTTAAGCGGAAGATAGCTCATTCTTTTGCGGGCTTTCTTCCTTTGTAACTATCAAGGACCTTGCTAGGAGTTTCTGAAGGGGGTTTCCCGCATTGATACATATATATATTTTCTGGTGCTTAGTACGTACTATTTTCACTTCTTAAATCTCTGAAGAAAGCCGCTTGGAATAGATTTCACTTTTTAGGGAGGCACCTAAGCACAGTCCAATATCCCTTTCCCTGCCACAAATTCCATGTCGGTACCTAGAGGTATCCATTTTAAGCTCTTTAATATTTCTCTGCATCCGTAAACCGCCATTTTAATTAACAAAAAGCCAATTTCCCAGTCGTCTTGGAAAGTGCGATGAAGCAGGTTAAGAAACCAATTGCTCGGAATAGCCAGCACTTGGAGAAAATGAATGTGTGAGCCATCCTTCCCTCCTTAGCATTGGCTTCTGTTCCCCGATAGGGCTTGGTGAAGTTATGCTGTGATTTATCAGATAGTTTAACTCCCAACTCGCTCTTCTTGTAAGTCAGCATTAAACCACCTCCTGGGTGCTTTGTAAATACAGCTTTAGCATTTTTTCATGCAGCAGATTGACATGTTGACGATTCTGCTTTAAGGAATGTGACAATAAAGTGGAAAACCAAAGGCTGGCAAGCACTTCATCAAGGATAAAAAGGTTCTGCTGTAAGGATGTCACTCAATTTATTGTGAAAGTCGAATGAATTACGTTTAATGAAAG